GCCGATACCCCCCCCCCCCCCGCTCATAGAGACTGCGTATTACAGTTGGTTATAGTTCCTGGGCTCCCTGTGATTATAGTGGATATATTGTTATATCTTCGTATACTAGTATTTTGTTATTGGCTGACATTTTCACACCATATGGGTGAGACTGGTTACACAATACGTGTGAATGGTGTACGTCTTCTGAAGGGATAGTGACAACAAAAACCCACACCCATTGATTTTCTATTGTGTACAGCTCTCAGCATTAAAAAGTTTTTTTTACCAACGCCTATTTTTCCTACCCTGATTTGTTCTTAAACGTTGTTTCTTTTTTCTAATTTGTAGATTTTTTTGTCATTAACTACCAGCATCGGGGCCGTATGACATTACTGTCTAACGATGTTGTTATATAGGTGGGGGTGGGGGCTTTTGTAAGTCTAAATCCAAAATCCAAGATGCTACTGTCATAGGGATTATAAACAATGAATTTGACAGGAATTTGATTTGTACAGTTGGAATAATAGTTGACATTTAGTGGAAGTGCAAATCATTGTAAAATACTTTACTTTCGCTGAAGAGATGATTCAGTGAAAATAAAATACAAGGAATATACCGTTTTTCCTATGTTTACACTCAATTAGTAAAAATATTGTTTTCAAAATATTTCCAATGTAGTTACATGGGGAAATTCTAACTAGAACTAGACATACATACAGTCTCTTGTTTGTTTTTGGTGATTTTTTCTCCTTCAATAAAATAAATGGCTAAAACGGGTAGCCATAAACACAAAAGGACAGTGTGTAAGTCTAAATTAGACTCTAATCTAAAAGCATCTGAAGGGATTACATAAATGCTGATGCTATGAAATGTCTAAGGAGTTATAAGCGTTTTTGATAAATTGAAATTGTTACAGTTTATTCAAAGTCAATAATATTGATAACATAACAAATGAAATTGTTATTAAAACTACTAGTATAAAGTTGTCGATGACAAAACCACATTAATTTAGATTTTCGACTACATGACTTTCGACGTGACGTCCTGCGCCGCAATACTTTCTATAATAAGTCGAGATGTACTTAGTATTCGACAAAATTGTATATCGATACAAATTTTTCTCTGAAACTATACTGAACATTGGAATGCGAAACTTGTTGTCGTATCAACAGCGGATAACATCATTGTGGTGTGGAAATCAAATAAACATGTGTCGTTACAGGTGATTATCATGTGACTTTGATTGACAGGACAGCTTATTATTTTAATTCACTGGTATAACACAATACTACTGGGGTGTTATAATAATCTCCTATTGTTTTAAGAAAAAAACTTCTTTTCTTCACAGAAAAAAAACTTCTTTTAATCGCGTCTATGAAAACCATTTGACAAATCACAATACGTTGGCTTGTGAAGCTTATACTGTAAAAAAAATCACAGAAAACTTCTTCCCGTACGGTGTGGCCGTGGGCATGTGTTTAGGCTTGCTGAAGTCATGCTGCAGTTTAGCAGCTCTTATTGGCTGCTTAAGCTATTTTGATACTACGTTGCGGCCAACGTATACCACGACCAAGAGAGCTGCATCAACTGCAGCAAGTGTTTAGGCCCGATATTTTTATGACGGCTGTGACTTTCTGTGATTAATGCTTTGGCAATGAGTATTTTACATAGTATCATTAATATCACAGACTTTTCAGCAAAGCACAATTGTCATACGTATGTCCATTACTAGTTTTTATTTTTATTTTTTTTTGGGGGGGGGGGCTGGAAAATCATTGCCCGTGCATTTTTTTCAGTGTCTCATCAGTGCATTTTTATTGTCCAAACTGCAACTTTGTTTCAAAACAATTCTTCCAGCCACCCAGGTTATTCTAAATATACATCCGTATCTAACACATGCCTCAACTTGTTGAATTAATAATAGTATGGTTATTCCTGACGAGTGGTGTGTTAAGTAATGGGAATCTCTAGTCATGGAAGGTACTATGCTCTAGTGAATGTCTAGTTGTTTCTCCGCTAGCGATCGGCAGACATGGTCTGCTGTCAGCAACGCACATTCGGATTCTGCTGACCTTCTTTCAGCCAATGAAATTCCGTTAATTTCGTCCAATCACAGCGGCAGTACATTGACCCATGTACCTTCCACGATTGACCCAGGATTGACCCAAACTGATGATATCAGTATGTATATTATTGCACTGTCCGCCAAAATGATCGGAATGTAAACACTGAATTCAAAGTTCGAACACACCCTGCCCGCACAAGTTAGTACCATCACGGTTACTACACGGTTTAGTAACCGTGACCATGACATGCGTTTGCTGAAAGCTGTCATCAATATCCAAGTAGCAGTATTATTAATGGTAACGGGTTCCATTTGAAGAAACTGTGGCGGTGTTGTGAAAAAAAAAAAACCATGACGAACACGATGACTGCTTTTTGTAAATGAACTTGGGAAATTCATTCATTATGTATAACCACAGTCCCTCTATATAGTCTCTCTATATGATAGAGGGACTGTGGTATAACTCATTATTTCTCCCACAGACTCCATAGACTGTATAGCGTCCTATATTTGGAATGTTGATGGAGGTAAAAAAAAAAAGACTTTTTTTTTTTTTACCTCCATGGTAATAATAGTAATAACTTTATTGCATCCTTAGAAATACAATGTTTCTATCATGATATTTCAAACTAGAGCACTGGAAACTCAGCAAATTTTAATGAGTGTAAATATGGTAAATCCAACCAATTTTAGAGTATACAGTACATATAATAAAAAACAGCTATAGATTCTATTACACTGACTGGATTCCAACAAAAAAACAAAAGTCGGGACATAATAAGCCAGCAGGTTACACGAGTTGGGATTTTGCTAAAAGTTCCATAAACTGCTAATAAACAACTATGTTAACACTTGAAACACAGGCCTTTTTCAAAAAAAAGACTTATTTGTTTTGTTTTTAAAATTAAATAGTAAACGGCATCTTCACAGATGTTGAAAGTCCCCAAAATAAAACCTTCACCTCCACGATTAAACCAAACTGGTATTGTCAATATTGAAAAAGTTGACCCCACCGATTGCTCGCTATCTGGAATTTTAAAACCATGTGGGTTTCGCTAAAATTCCATTCACAGTTTAAAATACAAGCATGCCATCTCTTGTAAAAAAATGTTTTCAAAAAAGAACAGATTGCACTCATGGCTGGTGGTGTGCATTGATCCAATATTAGGTTGCACATTACTCCCAAAGATCCCCCAGAAAATGTCCTGATAAGAAAATAAAAGCAGTGATGGATAAGGAAAATAAAAAAATCATGCTACAAGAAAATAAATCGGAATTAAACTGACATTTATTTCATAAATTATGCAAAAATATGTACTGGCAGTGTCACTGAAGTTGATTGTAAAAATGTGGTGAACCATCAAAATTTGAACTTGATATAAAACTTATTTTACCACATAAAAGAAAACGTATTTTACATACAGAAATTTGAATCAAGAATAAATCATAGTCATGTACACAATGCAGTAAAATACCAACTGTGTTTCATGTTTTAATTTTTGAACTCAAATCAAATCAGAGAAAAATTCAAGGGGCAAGTTTATGACCATGGACACAAATGTAATGTTTATTAGAAGCTAAAGAACATGGACTTATAATTACAATAACAGTTTGATGAGCTTTGTGAATTTGAACATTTTATGCTTTCATGCATCTCAGATAGAGTACATATGGTATTTGAACAAAAACAAAAATTCATTTAATTATGCATAAATTATCATCTGTTCTTTATCTGTTGTTTAAACCTGATTGACACAATCTACATGTTTCTATTCTATGTTAATTTCAACAATGAATGACTAGATTATGTTGAAACATCAGCTATAAAATGTGGATGATAAAACAGTTATTGCAGACAAATCATTTTGGCAGTGAAATGGAACGAATCAAACATTTTGTCATATTCCTATAATACTATGGAAAATGATTTTATAAATGGAGAATCAGATTGTCAAAATAAACAGAATGAATATGAGGTGAGATGACCAAAACTGGTGACGTGAATGCAAGTCAACCAAAGAAAAAATGCATGGTTTAGATAACACTCTATTAAAAATGAGATTGGGGGATTTTTTTAAATCGGTTCTTTGTACACTTTGTACATACCTTCTATATACACCTCAGAATACAAGTACGTGTCTCGCAGTTTGGAGGCCATTATTGTACATGGTACAGATATTAAATTGTCACCAGATTTTCTATTTTCAGGTTTATATTTTGCATGATTTTCTGAATTTGGTAGTTTTAGAATTACTCCACAACCATAGTACTGTTATGGTTACCATGTTATTATAAAGATTACCTGGAGGACTACCTGTAATTGTCAGTTGAATGAGATATTATGTTTATAAAATTCAAGCAAGATGATTTTACAATGTTTGACTTTAAAACTTTAAAACGTTAATTACAAATGTTAAAATCATATAAAAAGTAGCGACACTGGTAGTTAAATAAACTGTAGTTCATTCCTGAGTGGTCCAGCTTTTGTGTCACTAATGTAAACACATAATTTATTTACTGGGTTTCAATTTCACTATTTTTCCTGATTTGTGAAATCTGTTAAATTAAATTCATATTAACACTGGAACTGATTGTTTCACTGTACAAAACTTTGAATTTAAATCCCAGTAAATAATGAAATAATCATCTACATGCAAACTTTGTATCAAATCACAGGTGGGATCGAATAGCTCTTACTCAGGACCCTAGAGGTCACGCATCCAGTACTTATTCACGACCCCTGGAGGTCAAACATCCTGGTACTTGTTTACGACCCTAGAAGGTCACACATCCTGGTACTTATTCATGACCCATGAAGGTCACACATCCTGGTACCTTAAACCATAAAGTGGAATTTTCCAAACAAGAAATTTAATTTAAATGAGCTATATTCCCAGCATATATCAGAATGTATTGGTGATGAATTAACACAACAACATTCTTGTGTTGACTTCATTAATAGTTATACAACATCACAAGACATCAACACAGACTGCAGAGCTTTGGCATAGCCTGTAATAAAAACAAAAGAAATCATGTGAATGAGTGAAAAGGTAATTTCTGGCACTATATGTCAATGTGTTTTTGAGAGATTTTCAGTGTTCTAAATGACATTTACACAACCAAATAAAATTGTTGATTTCAACATGGAGGTAAAAAGAAAGTCACAACCAAAATAATCCTCCTAAACTTCTTTTGTTTTAGCCAAGTTTAATCCTATAATTCCCTTTGTCTTATCGTCCTTTCACCCCAGGATTGTCGCCGACGCGTCATTTCTCTTCAAGCGTTGCTGCGTACAGTACACATTCCAAGGTCTTGTTTTACGATGTCGCAGTAAAAGCCAAAGGACATAAAGCATGCGCAGATCTTTTATACGTAGAGGAATGTGTTTGTGAGAACGTGAAAGTTAGAATTTTGAAAATCGGAGAATTTCTTGTTAAGTTTATGTAATTTTTCGTTTTTCAGCACATTTTTCGTTGTATTTTTGAATCGGTAATTATGTAATGTTTCGAAACCTTGCTAGTACTGTTTTTTAGTCCAAAATAAAGATCGTTTAATGTTCCTTGCAATGGTGCATGACATGGACCGCACCGCATTGTACCAGAGACTGAATTTGAGGTTCGAAATGACACTTTTTGAAGTTTATATATCCCGTGTATGTCCTACTTCCCATGGCAGTGCGTCAATTTTCTTTATACACCATGTACAAGAAAATCGCTGCATTTTTTTGTTTTCGTGCAATCATTTCGTTCACAGCATATGCAAAAAAATTCTTCGTCTGTAATATGCTCTTCGATTTCGTTTACGTCTTCTGAATTTAAGGATATAGCAGTTTCAGCATCGTAGTCAAACTCGTGCGCGTTATCGATCGTCGCCATATTTGTTTATAAGAATTTGACTAGAATTGTCACGAAAATCGTTGAGTGCTGCCAAAGGCGTCCGTAGTATGCTAATACATGGTAATCCTCACTGCGCTAAGAGGAAACTGAAACTTGATCCGTTCGGCAAATAAACTCCTTGATCTATGTACAAACAGCGGCGACCATCCTGGTACCTCTGATCTAAGCTTGGCTGTGACTCCTTCCCTTTTTACCTCCATGATTTCAATAACAGTGTTTTCTGAATTCTATGTAATTGTTACATCACAGAATTGCTTTGTCCCCTAGAGGGCGCTATTCACAGTAAATGTTGAATGGAATTTTGAGGTGAAAAAAAGATTTACTGTGAAACAAGTTTTTTATAGCTAGCAGGTTATTTTAATCCATAATTTTGCTAATTTAAAATGTAGCTAACTTACAGTATATTCTCATGTATCAAATTGGCTGAAATAAGATGTAGCTATTTTAACATCTTTTACATTGTGGTGAAAGCTTTAAATTGTCAAATTATATCTTGTAACATGGCAGAGGTAGATGTCTATTCTCAGGAGTGTAATCCGGACATTTTCACACACATCATTTTGAACATCATTGTTCGAGATTCCCTGTGATGTAACGTGATAGACCTCTAAATGGTGCTTGCAAGCTAAACTAGACTAGTGATGGTTCATAAATTAATCTTTTTTTCCCCCATATTTCTCAGAAACTTTAATCAAGACCTGATGCCAACGGGAAAGTATGTAAAAACTAAAAAAGAAAATCATAGAAAATAAAAATGTACAAAATATTGCACCAAAATTTAAAGTGTAAAAAGTCATATTGTTCAAAAGTTAATAAGTAATACATAAATTACATACCGTTAGGATTTTTATAGAAAACACAGTTATTAGCGCAGGTATCAGGGTTGGTATCCCATATTGTAGGACCACAGTTACATAATGGCGGTAACTGAATATTCTGAGTTTCTATCTTATTCTTCATCACGGCTTGTAAAGCATCGATATACCTAAACACAAAATAAATACCAAATTTGATTTACTAAAATTGCATCACAGAAATAAAAATTACATTTGCTGTATACTGGAAAAAACACGAGTCATTTTGCCCATTGCCCTCTGAAGCATGCACTACAAGTGTAGCAAATATAGTACCGGTAATTTAAAATAACGCTCCAAAAGAAAACACAAACAAGATGGCACCCAGCCGGACATGTAACCATGGCAATTGACAGCAAGGACCTCCGTGTGATAATGGTCTGATTGCATATAGGAGAGAAGTAATCATGCTCTCAAAGTAGAAATGGCTGTGATTTTGAATTTTTGTTTGTTTAAGGCCAGACTTTTTTTATTCCTTGTTTCTCCAGTTTTTATAAGGCCATGACACAGGAAATGTTTTATTAAAAATAAAAGAAAAAAGATTGATAGTTTCAATTATTGTTGCTTTAAAAAAGTTTGAATATCCATCTACCTATTCATTTCTCTCTTTTTCTGTACTTTCTTTTTCTGTTTTTCCATAGTTTGTGTTATGTATCTCTGTTCCTGTTTTGATTTCTCCAATGCCTCCTTCTCAGTATGGCCAGTGACAGGATCTCTGGGTTCAATTGACAACTGTGCTGCCCTCTCCTCTCTCTTTCTCTCCAATTCTTTCTCTTGTTTCAATCTGCAGAGGGAAATAAACATGATTAGTTGAATCTGTTTGCCATTTTGAATTCCCAATGATTGATTGAAATCAGTTGAGAAATTTTCAAGAAATGTTAGTTGATGCTATCAGTCAGCCAAACTGGATGCATGGAGCTGGGAACTGCCACTGGTGGCGCTGTATACAATTGAGGCTTGCCATAGCTCATTTAGATTGGTTTCCCCATAACTCT